CAAACGTAACCAATTCATTTTTTTTTATTTCAACAACTTGGAACCAGAGGCGGATCCAGGATTTTATGTTTATGGGTTCCTGTCGCAATTTCAAATTAATATACGATAATAACTGGGTTCACAAATAGATATTTATAGATATTTAATAATTTTTTTAACAAAAATACAGGGTCTACGCAAAAGTTACTGGGTTCCCGGGAACCCGTATCTTACACCCTAGATCCGCCCCTGCTTGGAACTGCCATTTAATTAGAGTTTAATATATCGAGTCACCCTCACTTAATCCAGAGGTCTTATCGAAATAGACATAGGGTGTGTTTGGTATAAAGGAAAATATTTTCCAAGAAAATGTTTTCTTGGAAAACAAGTAGTAATCTTATTCATTTTCCGGTGTTTGGTACGCAAATTAAGGATAATAACTTCTCAAGAGTATTCATAAATAATTTAGATATAATAAACATGAAGCCATAAACTTTCAAACCAACAACCTTCCGAACCCACAAATTTCATAAATTTTCAAACCGCTAAACTTTCAAAATCGCGGAATTTCGAACCCGTAAACTTTATAATTTCTAAACCCGTAAACTTCCAAACACATAAACCTCCGAACTCATAATTTTGGAACTTGTAAAATTTTGAGCCTTTAAACCGATAAATAATAAAATTAAAACTGAAAAATATATTTTTTAGGGAGGGGGGGGGGGGGTAGCAGTAAACAAAAAAACAGAATTAAATTACAAAAAAAATTAACTTTTTTGTGGTGGGGGAGGGGGGGTAGGGAGAGCAGGTGGGGTCGGAGTGGGTGGTGCAGAAAAAAAGAAAAAACAGAAATTTAAAATTGCAAAAAAAAAAAAAATTAAGGTAAAAAAAATAATTTTTTGTGTGGAGAGATAGTAGGGTGGGTGGTAACGGAAAAACTGAAATTAAAAAAAAAAAAAAAAAACCTTTTTTGGAGAAGGAGTGGGGTGGGTTGATGAGGGTGGGGAAGGTTGAGAAAGATTTTTGGAAAATGTTTTCCCTTCTATTGATAAGGAAAATATTTTCCTCCAATTGGAGGAAAATGAGTTCATGAGGAAAATGTTTTCCAAAATATTTAAGCCAACCAAACATGAAAAAATTGGAAAATATTTTCCTTAGTGCCAAACACACTCATAGTGGACATAGCTGCGTTCATTTCGTTATCACCTATATGAAATTGTAAAGTTCCTAAAGGAGCTTACGATTTCCTATATGTCGTACTGTGGTAATTGTCGTTGAATCAAGACTAGGATAAGTCTAATAACGTTTTCAGGATACATAACAAATTAGTAAATGGTAATACTAATTTATTCTACCATAATTTTGTGGTGCACATGATATAATATTTATAAAATAAAATAAATTTGGGGGTCGGGGCAGAAGGGGACTCAACGGAAATTTTACTTTCAATTAAGTCAAATGTGCTGAATTTTACAACTTCAGGGAAATGGGAGTTATCAAAGTTCTAGTGTGTATTATGAAGATTGAAGCTTCCTTCGCAATAAATGATGGAAGTAGGATACATTTAATTTTTTTTTATTAGTAACCTTGATAAAGTTGAAGGAGAGCCATGGGTAAAATTACTGCTACGTGACCAGGAGGTTATGGGTTCAACCCGTGATAACAACCTCTTACAAAAATGCAGGGCAAAACCCCTTTTTAGTAACCTTGATAAAGTCTAATGGGATCCAAGGTGAAGGATCAACTCAAAAGATTAAAAAGCATGTAAATCTACCCTTACCCAACAGTAATATCTTTAGTTTCAATTTAGATGAGGTAGTTTGACTCGGCATGGAGTTTAAGAAAAAAGAAGAAGACTTTTGAAATTTGTGGTCTTAAAAGCTTAAGGGGTAAAAGTTTTGTAGCGCCATTATATTTGTGTGGTTATAAAACCTTCTCGTTAAGGGTAAAATGAAGAGTTTTAAGTTATATTATTTCCAATTGTAGAAATGTGTCATTTTTTCTAGAACGGACTAATAAGAAAAGTATGTCATCTAAATTGAAACACAGGGAATAATATTTATAATTTTATTATTGTTGTTATTCTTAATATTATTATTTGTTCAAATTGCTGTCCCACGAGATCTTAATATTCATCATTTAACTAGAGGAAAAACCAGGGGCGGAGCTAGCTCATTGAGTGCGGGTTCGGCCGAACTCAGTCGCTTTGGTCCAAATCATATATTTGTCTTAAAAATGTATAAAATATCAGTTATTAATTTAGAACCCAGTAACTTAAAAGGACTAGAATCCCGTAAGCTTCAAATTCCGCCTCTGCCTCTGGCGAAAAACAATGAAGCGAAAGTACAAACATATATGTTACATCCTTCAAGACATAATTGAGCAGAGAATATCAATATATCCCGATGATAGACTGAATGATATATGCCTATAGCTAAATGACATGCCAATTTGTGGATATGGTATGTCTGATTGATAAATAATTAATACATTTTTTTAGCTAAAAATATTGACTTATTAACTTTTTTATGATGTGATGGAAGGAAAATATATAGACAAAATTAAATCAATTTCTCATCACCTCAAGACAAACATAAAATCAAGAGATGTAACAAGAGGGACTGTTTAAATTGACTGGAGTTTATATATGGAGTTGAAAGATATAACTGTAGTATTGACTATCTTTTTCTTTATTTTTGGTTTTATCCTCAAATGGCCCCTTCAGCTTTCTCTTCCACTCAACTCATGATATGTTAAGTGATCAGATTCGTTTGTCCATTCAACATCTGAAAATAACAGAAAGTATGCAAAAATTGAAAGAAGAATGGAAGCAATAAGAAAAAGATAAAAGACATGATATCACTTTGGAAGTAACGGTTAGAAACTTTTTCTGTATTGGTGTGCAAGACTGTAAGTGGAAAAATCAATTGGCCGTTTTCTCTCAATTTCTTCCTTGAGATGTACGAAGAGTAGTGATTGTATTGGTCAAAATTTGGATTAGACTTAATAGCTGCAAATGGACGTGGTCGGGGATTAAGCCGACCATGGCATGAAGGCGAGGAGTCGCCTTAAGAAAGATTAGGGCCGGGGTCGAGCAAAGGGTGTATGAAAATAACGGTAGGATAAGTTAGAATAGAAATGAAGGAATATTTCATTGAATATTCTTTCAGTTGTAACTTTTTTAGGGTTTCTCAGGAATATCTCCTATAAATAGCAAGAGATAAAGAACAAAGAGGGGACTTTTCACTTTTCCATAAGAGCACATCGTGAAGGATTGACTATAAAAAACATACAAAAGCTTGTCTTGTTTACTGATTACATTGTTCAATATACACTGTTCATTCACAAGATCCGAAGATTCCTGATCCATCTCCCTCTTCTATTCCCCCACGTTGTTGTCAGAAAGAGGAATCATCCAAGTCACCTAACATTTGGGTGATAAATTTCTTTTTATTACATTTATTACCATTATCTACACTTATTGCATACTGCTATTACTACATTCATTGGCAATCATTGAGCATATATTTGATATTTATTATTCTTGAACACGGTCCCATATCACTGATCTACCCCAGTTTTAGATCTAGAATTTATTACGTTTAACTAGGATTCACCCTCTATTTCTTCATTAATTAGTTTAACAAAATGCTCAATACTTTTTGGTCAAACAGTGATCATGCTCAAATACGCTCTAAGGGGTCGTTTGGTTGGAAATAAATTATTCCAAAGTTAATTATCTCAGAATAGCTCTCTCGGGATTAATGTTATCCCATCCTCCAATAGGAATAAAAATAACACAACAATCCCGGGATGACTAATTTTGGAATTAGTTATACCGCGATTTTATCCCAACTAAATTTGGGATAAGCTCATCTCAAATTTAATTCGGGAAATGATTATGCCTTATCCCTTGAACCAAACAAGCCTTAAGAGATTAAGCGATTGCTGTAAATATAACTTAACTTATGATTCCAAGCATGAGCGAAGCTACATGTAGTAAAGGGTGGTCAACTGACCACCCTTAGTCGGAAATTACATATATAGGTAAAATATTACTCTCTCCGGTCCAAAATAAGTGATTTTTTGGATGTTTTCACACAGATTAAGAAATCCATCTTTTAGCATTAATTAGCAATGAAATTGACCATATTAACCTTTACTATCTCACATAAACACTCCTAACACATACTCCAACACTATTTACTCCAAGGACAATGTAGGAAAAAAATAATTAATTCATTCTTGAAATCTGGAAAAATCACTTATTTTGGACCACAAAAAAGGCCAAAAAATCACTTATTTTGGACCAGAAGGAGTAGATTTTAGAAGTATATAACATATATTGAATACTCTTTCTCGAAGATTTTTTTCACTTCTTTCAAGTTTGAACGCACTTGAGTAAATTCCTGGCTTCGCCACTGAGTCCAAGATATCGAATATCAAGTAGATTAGTAAGGCAGTTGAGGTTCACAATCTCATTTGCCGAAATCTTGGTTAGCAAACTGATCAATATTTGTGTTTGTGGAAGATATTTTATAGCCAGTAAAATTGATCGAGGTGCACGCAATTGTTAGAACAAACTGACATGATCAGGTAGATTGTAAGTACTCGCAAACTGACATGAAAACCATCGTTATAAAAAGAGAATGCACATTGCTCCAAATTTAAGTAAAGGAAGTGAATGAATAAGATGTTTGCTCGAAATTTATAGTTTTAATTTAAAAGTGATTATTGGGAATATCGCTTGGCTTTTTTATGTTTACCTTTTGTTTTTCTTTCTTACAGGGTGAAAAAACATGAATTGCTTGAAGCAAATATCTAAAGGAAATAATAATTCCACACAGACTTACAATATTGATATGAGTCTCCCACAAAATAGGTGTGGGATCAATTCTTTATTTTCCTCCTCCCTTCCCTTTCCAATCCTCAAATGTATTAGGAAAAAAAAAATGAAAAACATGAAAATTATATTGAGCAGAAAAAGATTGGGAAGGGAGTCAATAAGATTTGCAAAGGGCTTTTGCACAAAACAAATTATGGTTGCATTCATATAGATAAATGTATATAAGATGATACAATATATTTCCTTTACTAAGTGAAACAAAGGCCTCAAAAGGGTCATGCCTTATTCTTCTTGAAGCTGACACAAAGGGACACAATGATCTCTTAGAGGATCAAACAGTTAGGGATGCAAGAAATTAAGTACTCATAACTAAAAATAGAAATATAGGGTTTAATAATTAAACTCTATGAGCTGAGGACATAATATAATCAACTCATAAATCATCAAACCATTAATTAAAAACATATGCTAGCTGCAGAAACAATTCTTCCAATAGATAAATTTTACTCCTCCAATGCAAATTCCTCGATCAAGTTCATCTTGTTGAGTGGATTGAAGGCATGAATTTCAGCACAAGCACATTTGCTAGGTAACACATAGGATCCAAGTCCATCAAGTGGTTGAACACAAGGCAATGGCAACTTACGAGCTATGACCACAGAATTAATCACCTCATCCGTTGGATGGTACACCGAAAGCACCTCGAATCCTCGTAGATTACGAGGATCAAGAACAGGATACAGAAAAGCGCGCGCACCATGTGCACTCCTGAGCATCAGGGTTGCCCCTGGAGCCATATACTTAGCCAGATGATCGACAAACTTAACTTTCTCTTCCTTATCCATACCAACCAACGCGGCCAAGAAGACTACATCGTAGTCCTTGAGGGCACACGTTACATCCATGACATCCGTCGTGTGAAAAGTCATCCGATCAGACAAGTCAGGATCGGATGCCACGAGACGAGATGCCAAGGAATTAGCCTCAGAACTAATATCATAGTTGTGAAAGTATGTTGATGTAAGATGTTTAGTAGCCAAAACAAGAGAAGTGAGAGGGAGAGGGCCTGATCCAATAAATGCTATTTTGTTTGGGTTTTTTGTAGTATTCTTGGTCAAGATATTGAACTCAAGCAAACTAAGTTTGATGTAATTGTCAAAATATGGAAAAATGTCAAGATGGTGAAGAGGGTTTTCAAAAGAGCCAAGAATCTTGGAATAGTGACTCTCTAAAAGACCTTCAGCTTCACCACATAGTTTGATGAGATGAGACCTAATTTCTTGAATTTTTTGACAGAGTTTTGAGACATCAATAGGATTTGGAGGCATGCACGTGTGGACAAGCTTTGTAAACAGTATGTTGACATCTTTGGATGGGCTAAGGTTCTCCAATCTCGAGATCTGTTCATATAATTCACACACTTGTTGTACTACTGGATTGCTGTTTGGGCACACCATGTCGACACTATGAAGAAATGAAGAAATTGGGAAAGAGAACAAAGCTAAATATAGCTGGAAATTCCTCTTGGAATTATCAAAAAGGAATTGCTATAAATTTTCTTTTCTTGAAGTTCGAAGGACACACTCAATGATCTGGTGCTCATGAGGTTTCCACAAGTCGCTATTTATTGAGGGTTTTTTCTGAGGGACCCAGAGATACACGAGGGATGGGGGGGTGGGGTCATTTATTATTATTTTGTTGCATCATTTATTGTTCATTCTTAAGTTGAGATTTTTTTATTACTTATATATTTATTGATTTGAATGATGAGTAGTTGTGCTTCGTTTCCTTCTTTTACAGGTTAATCAGTTACACATTTCACCTTGATCAGCAAAGTTACGTCCGTCATTATTAGTATACCATGATAATGTAAAGAATTTTTCCTTTAGAAAAAAATATATAATCAACGGTATGGTTTTTTTCCACCAATAAGTAAGATTAACAACAATTAGAGGCATAATTTAGGCATGTCAAACATTTAAGTACGGCATGTTTCATAATTTCTTTGGACCTTTATTGTTTTTTCAGTTTTGCATTTGTACGAAACCCTAATGTTTACGGTAAGTTAGGATTTTTTGTTGGACCACAAACTTAGTAGTTTTCTTGCGACTTGGGACCAAAGCTCAAACTTACAATCCCAATGCCTAGGCATGTATATATTTATTGCTCCTAGTTATTCTTAAGTTCAATGAAAATGACGGCTAATAACTTCTTTTTTGTAGTATTTTACAAAATCGTGTTGTAGTACTCTATAATAGGGCTGGGCATATATTGGTAAAACCAATAACCCCGACCGTTAATTGTTTATTGGGTTATCGGTATCGAATTAATTATTGGGTTAATTAACGATTCGGTAATAGTTTAGAATTTTTTTACTATTGGGTTATCAGTTCGGGCCTCGGTTTGCCAATTTTGATCTATTATGTAGCCTCTTCTACAATAGATCAAGTATATACATATGCTAGGGCTTCAGTTTATTCTCTCCTATTCTTTCTCGCATTCTTCACTTGCTTCATGTTCGTTCTTCATAGACCTTACTAGTTACTCCTAGCGTAAGTCTTTAGTCTTATACATTAGGCTTTTAATTTCTATAACAAAATTCATCTTCATATTGGTATTTTTGACTGTTAATGATTCTTTATTTTTTTTATTTTCGTTTCTTAATTTTGTGAGCTCACGTTGTGCAGCTTATACCTACTACCAGTTTTTCTTCGCACTTATCAATTTTCAATCGACAATCTTTGTTAGTTTCGGATATATTTTTGAACATTATTCTTTTGTACAGTACGCTGAGCTTTGACAACTGGACAATATTTTCTTGCCTTCTAGGAGTTTTTCATTTCTGTGTTAGTATTGCTCATGCACAGATCAAAGTTTTGCTCTATGGTTTATTTTTTCAGGTTAGGCATTTGACAAACAACATCTAGCTTATCTTGGACTGTTTGAGGGCTTCAACGCTTATGGAAGTGCAGGTATTGTGTGAAATAAAAATTCTAAATCAACTCTTATTGTATCACATCAGAGAGGCAGCTAATGCCTCGGAACATTTTGTGGGGAATTGCTGCAGTTTTGATAAGTATTTATCTACTGATTTTCTGGGTCACTGTTTTTGGGTTTAATTCTTTTTATATACGAGCATTTGGGTGTTTATTGACATCTTTTAGAATTAGGACATGTATTCTTTTACCGTTGATTCTTATATTTCATTTTTGGGTACTATATATTTGGACTTGTTAATTTTAGGTGAAATTGCTACTACTTTGTATTATAATTAATGTATTAGGACAACTATTGTTGAATAATTAGTACGATTCCAGTTGTGGCCACTGGACAGAACGCAAAAAGTGGGTTATATACTATATGTGAATTCTTCTCTTTTTTGCTTAACTCCAATGAATTATCTTCTTCTTTTTGCTTAACTCTAGATGAGTTATCTTTATCGGGTAAACCGATAACCGAACCGATAATGATCGATAACCGATTGATAACCGATATCTTATCGGTTTGGTTATCGGTTTTATCAAATTTGTAAACCGATAACTAAACACGATAATATTCATAACCGAACCGATCGATGCCCACCCTACTCTATAATGGAAATAAGTTCAGGAAAATCAACCCTTCAAATATAGAGTTCTGCGTTCTCTCTCTCCTACATATATATATATATAATATATATATATATATATATATATAATATATATATATATATATATATATATATATATATATATATATATATATATATAGTCATTTAGGTTATGGTAAAAATAGTCATTTACACCCCTTAGGCTTGTTTGGTACGCGGGATATAAGGTGAGATCATAAAGTGTGAGATTAAAAATATACTGTGTTTGATTGACGGTATATCTTCAATCAAGCATAGTATAAATTTAATCTCAAACTGTTGGGTGTGTGTGAACAAAGTCCCACATAGAAAGTAGAAAGGAAAAAATTCTACTTATAAGGAGTTGGATACTATTAGTGATGTGAGGCCTTTTGCGAAAAATTATACGGGCTTCGCTCAAAGCGAATTATAATATCACACCATGTTAAGAGTATCTTTGGGTTGTTTTTAGCCCAACAACTGGTATCAAAGCCAATGGTTTGGCGAGACGAGCATGGAGGCATACACAACCTCTCATTGGGCTTCGGTGACCGTAAATACTCGAATCATGATGTGGGTGGCACACAGTTAATCTCCAAATTAGTCTATAAACAATGATGGATCATGTGGAACTTAGTTCAAGGGGAGATAAATTAATCCAGAAATTACAATTCTAGGACTATAATTCCGAGATAATCTAATCCTCGTACCAAACTACCCCTTAAAGCTTCACATGAACACGTTTCTTCGATAACATATAGAAAAACGCATTCTATGCAAAAGCCATTTGCACACCAGTTACGATGTGAAGAGCGGAGGAATTTTGTTTGAGGCTTCGCTATTATTATTGTACACAAACAATTAATTTTTAAAAGATCACATTTCTTTTCTATAATACTAATCTTTAAGACATCACTTTCTCTTGTTTTTTTCTTTTTGTTACTCAAATCATAACGTCATGAATGAATGACAAGGCTAACAATGAATTCAGAAGAAGGAAATTAAAAGAACTAGGAATATTGGGAAAATGGCATGGATAATGCATAAGAATCTTGTAATACAACATCTGCCTAGTCAAAATCGTCGAATATATATGGCAACTTTGATTATATATAACATCAGATTCTCAAACTTCTTATGCTTTCCCACTTAGATTGTCCATACCACGATCCCACTGCATGACCACATTAAGTGCTTTAATTCTAAGCTATTTTTTCTTTTGATCTCGATATGGTTTTTCTATTACGTTGTCGAAAATCAAACAGACGAACTTTGACCAAAATTCTTAACTAACATATTCTTCTGTTGTTTCCAAATAAGAAAAATTTGCAAGTTATAGTAATTCCGAAACGATTTATCTTAATCGTAAGAGTATTTTAACTATTCTTTATTTCTTCTTAAGCATTTTAATTGATTATTACCCCTCCCATTTAAAAAGTAAAACTAAGAATATATTAGAAAAAAATAACAAATGATTTTTTTTTAAAGCCAAATATTTTAAATTAAATAAATAATTTAGGAAAACTACTACTAATTAATATTTGGGACAACCGGGAAAATGAATTTTTATACTTTTAAAACAAAGTAACCTGTGTATAATCTAACTTAAAATTGAACAAATTGCATTTCAAATCATTTTTGAAGGAGGCAGTATTTCTTATTCTCGAATATTATATTGAATGGACTGCCTCTATCATTTTGGGGTCAAGTAAGGAAAGGTAGCATATTTTGGTTTCACACTAAGTCTGGCAATTAAATAAGAAAATAATGTACGGACATAGAGAGAAACTGTCAATTTTCATGTAACCTTGCGTGCAAGCATTTGGGTCCATGCCTATCTCAGCGATTTTCCACATATAATCGACAAGATTTTACGTTCGAAAGTTTTTAGCAACACAATCTTTTTTTCTTTTTTCGAATTTTTCTTTAAGTATTCATTAATAAGTCACTTTCATCTTCTTTTCAATCTTCAAACTTTCCATCGCTTTTATTTTTGGGGGTGGGGGGGGGTGGGGGGGGGGGAGGGAGGGGGATACAACGGGTCTCATGAAAAGATAATGATAATTAGCATTATTCTTAGAAGTGATATTTATTTCTTTATTTTTCCTTTTTTTGAAATTATACTAGAGTGTTATGAGTTTGTAACATGATAGTATTTGATTACAATTATAAATCAACTTCTTTTTGGCAAAAGTCATTAAACTGATTTTATATGATTTTAAGATCATCCAAGTTATGATTTTTCTATAAAATTATCACTAAATTAATTTTTGTCACTTGAAAATTACTGAATTTATAATTGGTTACCCAGAAAATAAATCTAGTGAGGAACCCCAATAAACCTAGCAGGCAAGTGAGATATGCATGCCAAATCAACTAATACCAAGGTGGCATTTTAAGGAAGATTTGTTTTCTATTTTCATTATTTGTCTTGTCAGGAAAATAAAAAAGTTTCATTCTTTTTCTTTTTATACTTCTTATAGTAGTGGTTTTTTTACTACTTTATTCTGCTCCACTTTATGCGATGTTATTACTTTATGGGGAAGTTGACACTGTTAAATACTACGACTTTTTAAATTTTTTTAAAATATTTTAAATTACTAATTATGTTAACTTATAGTCCTTTTTAGATAGTAATGACATTGATCACAAGAAGTTGAGTAAATTCTTGATATAGCGGAAGCTAATGTGAAATTAAATTTTAAATATATAAATTTTATTTCAAAGAAATTATAAAATCGCAAAGGTGAATTGACACCAAAAGTTAAGTTTTATGACCCACTTATAGTTCGATCCTCTTCATTAAATGGAATAATGTTGAAAAGAGACCAATAAAGAGAGAGTTTTCTACTTGGAAGCACCAAATTATAGTTGGAAAAAAAGAGAGAAAGAAAGATTTAAAGAAAGAAAAGTAGTTGGAAAGAGTGTAGCTCCAACATTGATACTTAAGTGACAGTTGTTCATTTTATTTTTAAATAAATGTA